TGTGAGGTGGAATCTCAGGTTTGTTTTGATTTGCATTTCCCTGATGACTAAGGTTGTTGAACATATTTTTAGGTGCTTCTTGACCTTTAGGTATTCCTTAGTTGAGAAGTTTTTGTTTAGCTCTGTACCCCATTTTTCATAGGGGTATTTGGTTTTCTGGTCTCCATCTTCTTGAGTTCTTTGAATAATTTGGATATTAATTCTCTATCGTATGTAGGATTGGTAAAGATCTTTTCCCAATATGTGGATTGCTGTTTTGTCCTATTGACAGTGTTCTTTTTCCTAGGTTCCCTTGGTCCCCTTTGTCCTGGGGGCATTCCAAGTTACACTGATTATTGTGTCATAGATTGTGGACTCATCTGATATCTCAGAGGCCAAGCTTCTTATGGGTGTGGGTGAACTGTGTGGAGAGCCAGAGCTCAGGGTACAATCCTGGGTCACACAAGCAAACCAGAGGAATCAGGACTTTTTTTTCTTATATTTAATTAAATGTTTCTCTCTGTGATTTTTTTTATTAGTATAACTAGAGTTTAATGAGTGAAATTTGTCTAATATATAGACAGATCTTACTTTTATATTCTGTTAACATGTTCAAAAAATTCTCTTAAGTACTTAAAGCTTTACATTTATCTAAATAACCAATATATAACTACCAATAAATAAGTTACTCTCTGTGAATTTTTAATAGTTAGCTTCCCTTCTCTTTTATTGTTCTTTAAACTCATTATCTTATCAGTTTAGCCTCTTGGGACTCTTTAGTTTGTACCTCCTGCTGTGTTAGTACTGCATCAGCTCTTTAGCTAGCTCTGCATTCCTGGCTTGGTCTTTTCCCAGCCTTTCTAACCTGATGTGCTTCTGGAAGCTTTAGGCCTTCATTCCCAGGCATCTGCCAGTAGTTTATGGCCAATGTGCCTTGCTTCACAGACTAAGGCTGATCTTCAATAACAACAAAAACAGCAGAAAACCCACACACACATGGAAACTGAACAAGTCTCTACTCAATGCTAATTTGATCAGGGATGAAATAAAGAAATTAAATACTTTTTAGAATTTAGTGACACTATTCCAAAAATAGAAATGGAAGGAACACTACCTAATTCATTCTATGAAGTAACAATTACACTTATACCTAAACCATACAAAGACCCAACAAATAAAGAGAATCTCAGACCAAATACCCTTATGATTATGGATACAAAAATACTCAATAAAATTCTTGCAATTTAAATCCAAGAACACATCAAAATGATCATTCAACATGATCAAGTAGGCTTTATCACAGGGATGCAGGAATGGTTCAATATAAGAAAATTCATCAATTATTTGACTATACAAATCATCTCAATGAAAAAATTCACATGATCATCTTGTTAGATGCTGAAAAAGCATTTGACAAAATTGAGCATCCCTTCATGGTAAAAATCTTGGAAAGATCAGGATTTCAAGGCCCATACCTAAACATAGTGAAAGCAATATACAACAAACCAGTATCCAACATCAAACTAAATGGAGAGAAACTTGAAGCATTCCCACTAAGATCAGGGACTAGATAAGGCTGCTCACTCCCTCTCCAACTATTCAATATAGTGCTCAAAGTCCTAGCCAGAGCAATTAGACAACAACAGCAGATCAAAGGGATACAAATTGGAAAGAAAAAAGTAAAAATATCACTATTTGCAGATGATATGATAGTATACTTAAATGACCCCAAAATGTCCACCGGAGAACTCCTAAACTTGATAAACAACTTCAGCAAAGTGGCTGGATATAAAATGAAAGAAATCAGTAGTCTTCCTCTACTCAAAGGATAAACAGGCTGATTAGGAAATTAGGGAAATGACACCCTTCATAATTGCTACAAATAATATAAAATACCTTGGTGTGACTCTATCCAAGCATGTGAAAGATCTGTATGACAAGAAATCCAAGTCTCTGAACAAAGAAAACGAAGATCTCAGAAGATGGAAAGATCTCCGATGCTCATGGATTGGCAGGACTAATATATTAAAAATGGCCATCTTGCCACAATCAATTTACAGATTCAATGCACTCACCATGAAAATTCCAACTCAATTCTTCATGAGTTCGAAAGAGCTATTTAGAATAACCAAAAACCAGAATAGAGAAAACTATTCTCAACAATAAAAGAACTTCTGGGGGAATCATCATCCCTGACCTCAAGTTGTATTACAGAGCAATCATGATAAAAACTGCACTGTACTGTACACTGCACTGTACAGTGCAGCTGTCTTCAGACACACAAAGAGGACACTGGATCCCATTACAGATAATTTTGAGCTATGTTATGTTTGCTGTGAATTGAACTCAGGACCTCTGGAAGAAAAGTCAGTGCTCTTAACTGCTAAGCCATCTCTTGAACCCTATATTGTTTTTACGAGATACAAAAATTAGTTTGGGGCTGGATAGATGTCTCAGTGGTTATGAGGTCTTCCTACTTTTAAGAGGACATGGGTTCAGATTCTAGCATCCATATGGCAAATGACAACCTCTTTTAAGCCTAGTTCCAGCAGATCAAATGCCCTTTTCTAGAACCTAAGGGCAACAGGCAATTGTGTGTGGTAAAGACTTAGATACAGACCTAACACACTATAAAACATAAATAAGGATGTTTCTTTTTAAAAGTTTAATTCAGAAAATCATAGTGCTCCTGCAACTCATTTCATTTACAGCAGAGCATGACCATGCACTCCCCATATGGAACCTCTGAATAACAGAACGTGATGATATCACTGAGCCAGCCACAAAATCACTTGGGATACCCTGAAAAGCCTCAGTGAGGTCCAGATTTATTGCCTTTTCTCAATCTGTGGTCAAGGGGGATGGGCCCATTGTGGGTGTTGCCATTTCTGGGCTGGTAGTATTGGGTTCTATAAGAAAGCAAGCTGAGCAAGGCAGAGGAAGCAAGCCAGTAACATCTCTCCATGGCCTCTGCATCAGCTCCTGCTTCCTGACCTGGTTGAGTTCTAGTCCAGACTTCCTTTGGTGATGAAGAGCAATGTGGAAAGTGTAAGCTGACTAAACCCTTTCCTCCCAACTTGCTTCTTGCTCATAATGTTTGTACAGGAATAGAAACCCTGACTAAGACAGGTGTAGAAGATTTCAAGAATACTACTTTTCAGTCTGGCCCAGGAGAATTTTGAAGAGCTGTATCTTCAAACCAACAAAAGAATAATGGTATTCAAATGCACAGTGTTTTCTGAAATAAATCCATATAGTTAGTCATACAACAAAATTTGACACATACACGTGATTTTTATTTTATTATGGCTGAATAATATTCCTTGCACATATGTACCATTTCTATTACTCATTCTTCTGTTGATAGTCAGTAGGTTTATTTAAATGCTTATTTTTGTGAATAGTGCAGGAATAAACATGGGTGTCGGTGTATATGTATTTAATGATGACTTGGATTTGTTCAGAAATGTACCTAGTTTATGCACAACTGAATCATGTATATGCATGATTTCTTCAGGACATTCCATACAGTAGTCCTTAGTTTCTGTATCCGGTTGCAGTTCTTCAATAGTACATACTGTTTGCTCTTTGTGTATAGTCATCCCATCATTTCTACTCATTTACATACTATAATTTTTATCAATTATTTAAGTGAAGTGATTTTATGATTTTTTCAATTATTGGATATTACATTTATTTACATTTCAAATGTTATTTTTGTTACTCATTTCTTCTGTGGAACCCCCTTATTCCACCCCTGCTTCCCCACCCATGCACTCACTCTGCCTCCCCACCCTGGCATTCCCCTACATTGGGGCATCAAGCCTTCACAGGACCATAAAAGGCTATTCTCTACTACATATGAGGCTGAAGCATTGGGTCCTTCCATATGTACTCTTTGGTTGGTGTGGGACTGCATAAGGGTATCCTGGGTCATGGTTGAGCAGGTACCTAGAACCCCAAGATTCTCCGTGGAATTCTGCGTGAGAACCGGCAGGAGTTCGGTCCCTCCCATCATCCAAGATCCTAAAAAGCAGTCACATCTCCATAGAGACACATAGGCAGGCTATAGGCCTCAGGCCCTAGGGATTTACATACTAATGAAGGCCAGAGGGCAGAGCAAATTAAACATGCCTCCCCCAGATCCTCCCCCAATCCTCCCCCTTTTCTCCCTCCCTATATAACTCGGGACTGCCCTGAGTTTTTGGGGGGTATGCCTAGATCCATCTATTATCCGCCATGACAATAAACCTTTTTGGAACCAAGGACTTCCTCGTGTTACTGGGGCCTGCTGCCGCCAAGGCCCTCAGGCTGCTGGAACCATAGGATCCCCTTCTCTAATGTGGGACCCGCCATGGCAGAAGCCCCTACGGGGCTTGCGCCGCTGTGGCGGCCTTCTTAAATTTTCTCCACAGGTTGGTGGTTTAGTCCCTGTGAGCTCTGTGGGGTCTGGTTGGTTGATATTGTTGTTTTTCTTACTGGGCTGCAAACCCCTTCAGCTCGTTCAGTCCTTTCTCTAACTCCTCCATTGAGACCCCTGTGCTCAGTCCAATGGTTGGCTTCAATCATCAGCCTCTGTACCTGTCAGGCTCTGGCAGAACCTCTCAGGAGACAACTATATCAGGCTCCTGTCAGGAGGCACTTCTTGGCATCTGCAATAGTGTCTGGGTTTTGGTGTCTTTATATGGGATAGATCTCCATGTGGGGCTGTCGCTGGATGGCTTTTCCTTCAGTCTCTGTTCTAAACTTTGTCTCAGTATTTTCTTTACACCGGAACAATTTTGGTTTAAAAATTTTGAGGTGATTAGGTGGCCCCAACCACGAATCAGAGGCCTTGCCTAACATCTGGATATGGTTTCTATAGGTAATACCTCTGGGCAGCATGTGGAGTAGAATCTTGATTTGCATCTTTTGTATTGTGTGTGATATTAGGCCACCTTCTTAACTTCCCCAAACCTCAATTTCCTGCCTGGGAATTTGCCTTGGTTGCAAAGCTTAAAGGAATACCTCCAAATTCATAATTCAGATGAATTATATTTAATATAATATTAAAAGATCAATGCTAAGCAACAGAGTTTTACTTTGTAAATAAGGAAATGTTGGTAAGGAATTTTATGATGGGCTATATAGTATTTGAAAGGTTAGGCCAATTCTCTGTATGTTCATGTCAAGTTCCTCCCACTAGGTGTAGGTAGTGTATAGACTGAGAGAAGCATCAGAAACTCACAATACAAAAGTCCATGACCATTGCAGGCTGCAGCATGCAGAGTGGTTTGTGTCAGCTGAGTAGGGGTGGTAGTGGTGGAGTCAAGCAATAGGGAGAGCTCTTGGAATCAAGCTTGATGACCTGAGCAAATCACCTTCCATTTGTCTCTTGCTGTATGAGCCTGTTTCTCATGTGTAGAATGAAAAAAAAATGCAGTAGATGAGATCATTCTGACTTTGAAGCATTAATACTCTGAAATACTGACAGTGATTCTGCAGTGCTTGAGCTGGACCACTTCATGAAAGGCAAAGGATTTCATGACATTTTGAATAATGATGAGCTGCTGTCCTTGGAAATTTGTTTGAAGTAGACTAGCAGAAGAAGGAAGACAAGTAGTACATCATCATCATCATCATAATTATTATTAATATTATTATGTTATCTTCTAAGTCTATTTGCCTAGAGAGACTTTTGGTTCCTCAATAAAATGTGCTAGAACATTTGATGTCTGACCTTTTAGAAGCAACAAGTCTTACCTTTTTTTCTTTATTAGCATTTTAAGTTTACATTAAAACTGAAGACAATCTTGGATAACATTCTTATTTTAAGCCTCCCCTGGTAGTGTGTCTTTCTCCATGGTAGCTCCTCTTCCTCCTGTATTAACTTGTCTGCACTGGGATATTCTGCAAGACTCAGTCTGCATTCATCTATTTACATTTCTTGTCTGGTGATCTATCCTGTATCCTAAATTTCATCATCAGTTTCACCTTTCTTCCCTAGATGATGAGACATTCCCAGCTGGAGATCTGACAGCTTCTCAAATACCTAATGCTTTCTGTACAAAGTACTGGCTCCCAGCCTTTTTATGCTGCTCACTGTTAGACCTTCACCAGAAGTCAGTTCTGTGTACTTGAATCTCTAGAATTGTGAACTAAGTAACCCCTGTTCCCTTTTTCTTCTCTAATTGATTACATCCTCACCAGAGCAAACAGAATGGAGCCACACATTTCCAGATTTTATTTTTATGAGGTTCTAGATAAGCTCAGCCCATCTCATTTTTCTCTGTTCCAAGTAACTCCTAGTACATGGAGTTCATGGATGCTGCCTCTGGGCAACTGTGTCAGGTCTGTGAGAAGATCTGAGATCACCCTTTGTTGCCTAAAATACAGATGAGGAAATGAGATTTTTTCATGTAATAAATGTACAAATTCTGAGTATTCTGAGTTCATTCAAAGGAGATTAACCTGGATAGGCCTGATTTAATCAAAACCACTAAAGAGAAACTATTTCCTCTGCTGTTCATTCCCTTGCTGGTTTGATTATTGAGATCCCACATATCAGAGAGCTTTCAGTGCCTGTAGCACCGTAGGGAAGCTTCTAGCCCACAGTTAATAAAAGTGTAGCATTCTCAGCCACACTGTTCCAAGACACACAGATGGGTAAACCTGGTGACTGAGCTGGAAAGGAGATTCTTTGAGCACTCAGATGAGAATGCAGCCTTGATTACACCTTGACAGAGCCTATAAGACCCTGCATACAGCCTCAGACATAATCTGCCCAGGCTATAACTGTTGTGGTCATAAGCCATCAAGTTTGTGTAAGCTCATTGTAAAGCAGTAGGAAACCAATACAATATAGTTATTCTATTGTGAACTAGGACTGTAAGCTTGAAAACCTTGGAGTTGTGCATCTGAGAAAAGTTTCTAAGGACCATTCTATTGAGTTTTTCCACTCCATATGGGACAGATGCAGAAGATCAAAGAGGGTTCATATAGAACTAGAGGGTATCTTGGAAGTAAACTTTGCATGATTGGGGCTGCACACTCTTGTGCCTGTAGTGTTTATGCATATGGTAATAAAACAAAAACAAAAACAAATGAAATAGAGCTGGGTATGGTGTCAAGTAATCCAGCCATCAGGGGCAAGAGGCAGGTGGGTTGAAAGTTCAGGGTTAGTGTGCACCACTTACCTAGTAATCACCTAGTGATTTCAGGATATATAGTTAGATCTTATGTATTCCCCCACCTCCTAAAAGATAGTAAAAATGGAATTATGAATGATAAAAGGCAGATGAGAGTGTGTCCACACATATGGAAAATACTATAGAAAAATACATGATTATTGGATATGGAGAAAAGTGTCAGAAGCCATCTAGAAAAGGCTGACTAGTGGATGACTTTCCTGGAAATGACCAACCATTTTGGCATGGTCTGCCATGGGTGAGCTCTGAGGCAAGGCCCTGAGAGACTTTATCCCAGGACTGTTTCTTGCTGTTGATATACCTCTCTTATTAGTATTACCTAGTCTAATGGTTCCTGGGTATCAGCTCACCCTATTGGGCAAATTTCCTGCAGATCAACATGAAGATGAACTTTCATGAATTAATGCTGTTTAGATGAATTAATGATTTTATAGAATTCTTCATTTGATTTGAATAATTTTAGGAAGACAGTTTTAAGAGTTGGTTTTAGTTGTTTTGCCAGAAAGATATAATAATGTTAAAATCAAGAATAAAATGTGCCCATTCCCCATAAAATAGTAAGTAAATGCTGCATAATAAGAAATATGATGAGTTCACATAACTACACTGAAATGAGATATAGGCTTGGGACAATTTGTGTTCAAGGAAAAACATTTATGTCCAAGGGTAAAGCCACAGGTGTGCACTATTAGACAAGGCCATGCAAAAACTGTTACTTTGAATTTGTAATGAGCTTATAGAATGAAACCCTGCTTTGAACTTGTTATTGATATCCTTCTGTATCTCCCCTTTTAATGAGCTCTGAGCCTCTTGCCTGTCCAGTGAGGGGCTCCTGGCAGATTTGACAGAGAAAGGAGCCCTAGCAATAAGTTATTTACTTAATTCCCTGCTTCTAAACAGCATGTATTGCAAGAAAAAAAAGCTAATTTAAGCACTGTTACAAAGTAAGAAAACTGCTTTTTTGTTTGTTTGTTTGTTTTTTCGAGACAGGGTTTCTCTGTATAGCCCTGGCTGTCTTGGAACTCACTCTGTAGACCAGGCTGGCCTCGAACTCAGAAATCCGCCTGCCTCTACCTCCTGAGTGCTGGGATTAAAGGCGTGTACTACTACTGCCCGGCAAAGGAAAACAATGCTTATCAAAGTAGAGAACAGTAAGAAAGAGTAAGTTTGCAGAAGCCATCAGCCTGTGGCCCCCAAAACAGTAAGAGAGAGTTCCATGCCATCGATTTTCAGTCCTTGGCCTTTGTCTAACTCTGTTCCACCTCAGCTCTTTCTTCAGCTGGAGTAGACCCCCTACAGAATATAGTTGATAAATCCAAGACTGTGAACACATGTTTGTAGTACATACTGAGATGCAGATGAGAATGAAAGCAGGAAAAAAAAACTGCAGCAGTCTCACTTGTGATCAACTGAAGAGGGACTTTTGTAATTCCAAGCAGATAGAAGTGAAAACATGTTAGACTGGTAATGCCAGCTAGACAGACTTCAATCTTCAAAGCTCTTACTAATTTGAATGATCTAGAAAATGTTTTTTGCAAGTTTAAAATTGTCATCTGAAGTGGAAACTTCTGGTTTCTTTGGAAAGCAAATGATATTTTGCTGGGATGCGTAGATGAAAGGATGTTTTGCTAAAGCAGATATGTAAAAGAATGTTCTCCTGAAGCAGATACAGATGAAGGGATGGCACATGGAAGAATGTTTTACTGATGCAGACACAAGTGAAAGGATGTTATGCTGTAGCAGGCACATGAATTGAAAAATGATGTTTAAAAGATCTAGGACATCAGCTCTGCTCCCAATCCCCCAAGATCCAGAGAAGGCTGGACTCCCAGGAGCTCTAACATGCCCAGGAACATAGGATAATAGGATCACAATATCTCAGGAGCTTTGGCACACCAGGATTTCAGGATCCCAGAAGCAGTTTGATTCCCAGGAGCTACCACAACCAGGATTTCAAGATCACAGGATCATGGAGGCAGCTGGTCTCTGAGGAGTTCTGACACAACCAAGATAACAGAACAGACAGGATCCAGACAAAGACAGTGAGTGAAGGTAGCACTAGAAATAACAAGATGGGAAAAGGCAAGCATAAGATTATAAGCAATGGAAACCAAGGTAGTTGGCATCATTAGAACCTAGTGCTCTCAACATAACAAGTCCCAAATACCCCATGACACTAGAGAAACAAGATTCTGATTTAAAATTACTTCTAATGATGATGATAGAAGACTTTAAGAAGGACATAAATAAGTCCCTCAAAGAAATACATGAGAATACATGTAAGCAGGTAGAAGCTCTTAAAGAGGAAACACAAAAATCCTTTAAAGAATTACAAGAAAACACAACCAATCAGGTGAAGGAATTGTACAAAACCATTCAGGATATAAAAATGGAAGTAGACACAATGAAGAAATTACAAAGGAAGACTAATCAGGAGATAGAAAACCTAGGAAAAAGATCAGGAGTCATAGATGCAAGTATCACCAACACTGTACAAGAGATCGGAGAGAGAATCTTAGGTAAAGAAGAGGCCAGAGAAAATGTTAACACAACAGTCAAAGAAAATGCAAAATGTAAAAAGCTCCTAAACCAAACCATACAGGAAATCCAGGACACAATGAGAAGACCAAACCTAAGGATAGGTATAGGTATAGAAGAAAGCTGATTCCCAATTTAAAGGGTCAGTAAATATCTTCAACATAATTATAGAAGAAAATTTCCCTAACCTAAAGAACGAGATGCCTATGAATATAAAAGAAGCCTACAGAACTCCCAATACACTAGACCAGAAAACAAATTCCCTCCTTCACATAATAATCAAAACACCAAATGCACAAAACAGAAAGAACATTAAAAGTAGTAAGGGAAAAAGTCAAGTAAAGTATAAATCAGACCTATAATAATAACACCAGACTTGTCATCAGAGACTATAAAAGTCAGAAGATCCTGGACAGATGTCATATAGATCCTAAGAGAACACAAATGCCACTATACCTGGCAAAATTCTCAATTGCCATAGATGGAGAAACCAAGATATTCCATGACAAAATCAAATTTACACAATATCTTTCCACAAATTCAGCCTTACAAAGGAGAATAGAGGAAAACCACCAACACAAGGAGGGAAATTATAAATGGACTGGATAGGTAAACGGGACCCAACATTTTGCATGCTTACAGGAAATCCACCTCTGTGACAAAGACAGACACTATGTCAGAGTAAAAGGCTGGATAACAATTTCCCAAGCAAATGGTTCCAAGAAACAAGCTGGAGTAGCCATTCTAATATAGAATAAAATCGACTTTCAACCAAATGTTGTCAAAAATGATAAGGACAAACACTTCATACTCAGCAAAGAAAAAAATCTTCCAAGATGAACTCTTAATTCTGAACATCTCTGCTCCAAATACAAGGGCATACACATTCATAAAGGAAACTTTAGTAAAGCTCAAAGCACACATTGCACCTCACACAAAAGTAGTGGGAGTTTTCAACTCCCCACTCCCATTAATGGACAGATCATGGAAATAGAAACTAAACAGAGACACAGTGAAACTAACAGAAGTTATGAACCAAATGGTTTTAACAGATATCTATAGAATATTTCATTCTAAAACAAAGAATATATCTTCTTCTCAGCACCTCATCGAACCTTTTACAAAATTGACCATATAATTTGTCACAAAACAGGCTTCAACAGATACAAGAAGATTGAAATAATTTCATTCATTCTATCAGATGACCAAGGACTAAGGCTGGTCTTCAATAGCAACAAAGGCAACAGTAATGCCACATACACATGGAAGCTAATCAATGCTCTACTCAATGATAATTTGGTCAAAGAAGAAATAAAGTAATTACAGACTTTTTAGAATTCAATGAAAATGAAGGCACAACATACCCAAACTTATGGGATACATTAAAGTAGTGATAAAAGGAAAACCCATACCTCTGTCTCCAAAAAGAAACTGTAGAGAGCATACACTAGCAGTTTGAAAATACATCTGAAAGATCTAGAACAAAAATAAGCAAATACACCCAAGAGTAGACAGCAGGAAATAATCAAACTCAAGGCTGAAATCAACCAAGTAGAAACTAAAAGAACTATACAAAGAATGAACAATACCAGGAGCTGGTTCTTTGGGAAAATCAACAAGATAAATAAAAGCTCAGCAAGAGTAACCAGAGGTCATAGAGACAGTATCCAAATTAATAAAATCAGGAATGAAAAGGTAAATATAACAAGAGAAAATGAGGAAATTAAAAAAAACCATCAGCTCCTATGACAAAAGCTTATACTCAACAAAATTGGACAATCTGGATGTAATCAACAATTTTCTAGAATGGTACTGAGTATCGTAGTTATCAGGATCAGATAAATCATCTAAACTCATAATCTCTAAAGAAATAAAAGCAGTCACGTATAGTCTCCCAACCAAAAATAGCTCAGGACCAGATGGGTTTAGTGTAGAATACTACCAGACCTTCCAAAAATCTAAAAGCAATACTCTTCAAACTATTCCACAAAACAGAAACAGAAGGAACACTTCCCAATTCATACTCTGAAGCCACAATTATGCTCATACTTAAGCCACATAAAGATCCAGCAAAGAAAGAGAACTTGAGACCAATTTATGAATATTGATGTAAATATACTCAATCTAATTCTTGCAAACTGAATCCAAGAACACATCAAAATGATCATCCATAATGATCAAGTAGGCTTCATCATAGGGATGCAAGGATGTTTCAATATATGGAAACCCATCATCATAATCCTCTATATAACAAAATTCATGGAAAAACCCCACATGATTATTTCATTAGATGCTGAGAAAGCATTTGACAAAATTCGACATCTCTTCATGATAAAAGTCTTGGAAAGACCATGAATTCAAGCAATATACAGCAAGCCAGTGTCAATATCAAACTAAATGGAGACAAACTTGAAGCAACCCCTCTAAAATCAGGGACCAGACAAGGCTGCCCACTATCTTCCTACCTATTCAATATAGTACTGGAAGTCCTAGACATAGGAATTAGACCACAAAAGGAAAAAAAAAGATACAAATAGTTAAGGAAGAAGTCAAAATATCACTAATAATCTAAAATACCTTGGTGTGAATCTAACCAAGCAAGCTACAGATCTGTATCACAAGAACTTCAAGTCTCTGAAGAAAGAAATTGAAGATCTCAAAAGATAGAAAGGTATCCCATGTTCATGCATTGGCAGGATTAATATAATAAAAATGGTCGTTTTGCCGAAGGCAATCTACAGATTCAATGCAATCCTCATCAAAATTCCAACCCAATTCTTAATAGATATAGAAAGAGCAATTTACAAATTCATTTGGAATAACAAAAAACCCAAGGTAATGAGAACTATTCGCAACAATAAAAGAACTTCTGGGGAAATCACCATCCCAAACCTCAAGCTGTTCTACAGAGCAATAGTGATAAGAATTGCATGGTATTGGTACAGAGACAGGCAGGAAGATCTATGGAATAGAATTGAACACCCAGAAATGAACCTACATACCTATTGTCACCTGACCTTTGACAAAGAGCTAAAACCATTCAGTGGAAAAAGGACAGCATTTTCAACAAATGGTGCTGGTTCAACTGGAGGTCAGCCTGTAGAAGAATGCAAATTGATCCATTCTTATCTCCTTGTACAAAGCTCAAGTCCAAGTGGATTAAGGACCTCCACATAAAACCAGATATGCTGCAACTAATAGAAGTGAAGGTGGGGAAGAACCTCGAATTCTTGGGCACAGGGGAAAAGTTCCTGAACAGAACACCAATGTCTTCTGCTTTAAGTTAAGAATTGACA